GTACGTTGTGTATGAGGATAAGGTGTATCAATGTGAAATACTACACTTTATACGTTGTGTATGAGGATAAGGTGTATCAATGTGAAATACTACACTTTATACGTTGTGTATGAGGATAGGGTGTATCAATGTGAAATACTACACTTTATACGTTGTGTATGAGGATAAGGTGTATTAGTGTGAAATGCTATTCTTCTTGAGGGAGTGAAATGAAAGGGAGAAATTTTTTTTTGCTGCTCGTAAGTTCTTGAACTGGTTTCACCACACAAAATTGAGTAGCTTTTATTTGGTGTATTAAAACAAATGTTTATCTACATACAATTTTTATTTGTGACAAAAAGGTTCTAACATGAGTAAAATTTCTGTGGAGTTTGTAGTAGTAGGGCTGGCAAACTTACTGAAGTGGTCTGCATTATAAAAAAAAAAGTATCATTTGACCAATTCTTTCATGGATTCTGTTACTTTATTGCTACTGCTTTACACTTGTCATGTCATTTGAGGTGCTGTTGTGACAAAACTTCACTTACAATTGAACTGAAGTTGATGTTTGTTAGGATGACAGAAGAGTAGTTACAAGTATTTATCCCTGAAACATTCATTAAGTGTTTTACAGTAGTGAAAATATGCAATAAATCTTAGCACGAGGTTGTAACATTTATGTATGAATTAAAATAGTATTTTGGTTTTGAAACATTTGCAACTGACCTTCCAGATCTTTTAACTGTGGCAGTTTTCCAGCTTCACTGATGAAAATTATATATAATAATGTGCAATCGGAACAAAGCATCTGTTAAAAAAGAAGTTAAGGCAACCAGTGACAATATAAACTTCAAGTTATTCAGAAAGTCTTCTGAGGATTGTAAACTTACAAATTCCAAGGTGCTGAAAACTGTATATGTTTTTTTTTTTGTTGTTGTTATTTGTGTACATACAAAGCTGAATATTAGTTTTAGATTTTTTTTCTTTCTAGGGACACATTAACTGGTCATCAAATGTCTCTGTTTGTAAAATAGAAAACAGAGTTTCCAAAAATAAATGTTGAAAAAAGTTAATACAATTCAGAGTTTTTGTTTTCTGTCTGGTATTGTTGAATGAGAAAGACAAAGTTTATACATTATGTAGATTACATGAATTTTCTTAAATAAAATAAAATTTTCTATCTCGAAACCCCGGCAGTAAGAAAAATAAAGTTTAGGTACCCTCAGGTTTTCTGTTTCAGAAAACAGAATTTTTACTTACAATAAATAGTTGTGCTTTTGTTTCTTAAACATTGCATTCGTTTTGTACCCAAAAAATAAATAAAAAATTAGTATAAAAACATGTTTAAACTACGATATCTTTTGCATTGCTGATTGATATGTAGAATTTTTGTTTGAAAACAAATTATTCATTCTATTTTGATTCAGTATTCCATTAGGCTGATATATATATATATATATATATACACAC